ATCATCATTCTTGTCTTTGGGCCTCTGCACATTCTTCCATCAAGAATGCCCTCCACAACCGAGTGATCTCTTTATAGAGATAGCCATGCCCTTGGTTGGCAGGAGCCAACAGTCACAAATGACCTCCTTGGCTCTAAGACCATTGTCTGAAGGACTCGGTTTAGTTAGCACAAGCCCATCGACAGAGGCCCGGGCCTCACTCCTGCACATTCTTTCCTGAGTCTCCTTCAAAGCAGCATCTCTTAGGATGAGCCTTACAACCTATCTGTCCATCAAACAAAAGGTACTCTACAGACAGTGTCGCCAAGGAGGCTGGAGAGGGAGACCCCTGACCTTCACTCACTCCCTGACAATGTCAGTTGTACTCCAGGTACCTCAGCGGGTGGATTTTTGCACCGGCTCACAGCTGCCATTGCACTGGGGCCACACCTTTTCAGGTCACGCAACTCACAGCCAGCCTCATGGCATTCAGCTCTGATTAAGAACGTGAGCTCCTTGAGGGCAGACCAGTGAGAGATGTCTTGACCCTCCTGTTGGACCTGGGCTTGATACCTGGTACAAGGCAGGCATTCAAGAAATGGCTGTCCCTGGATTGAATGGAGTGAACCAGAGAATAGATGAATCAGCCTCAGCACCATCCCTCATTATCTGGGTGATCTTGGTCCAGTTTTTTAAACTCTCTATGCCTCAGTTTCTCCAACCACAGGACTTGGATAATAGTAGTGCCATGATCTTGGGTTCTTCAGACTTTATTATCAATGGGTAGCATATGGATGGATGGATGGATGGATGGTTAAGTGGGTAGATGGATAGTCCTGTTGGTAAATGAGTGGATTAACATACAAATAGGTTATTTCATAGATTCAGGTTATTACACAATTAATTAAGAGGTGTTCACCCATCACTGCCCAAAGCCACCACACTAAATAAAATGACCCAAACAAAAATGGTCCCTCAGAAAACAATCAAATAACGGTAACTTTTGCAGCCCTAGGGATAGCAAGAAGGCTCCCTCTGGGCACTCTTTTCAAGAAACAGTTTTCCCAAAAAGAAAAGGAAAGGAGAAGGGAGGAGAGGAGCGAGGAGAGAAGAGAACAAACAGGCATGCACACTCAGAGAAATGGCTTATAGCCGAACCCTCCCATCAATTCACCCGAAGCCTCTCGCCTCCGCCCCAGCCTCCCCAGGCCCGCCTGAGGTGCGATCTACAGGTCTGAGGTTTTGCCTTGCAGAGGGTGGTGAAGACAGGATCTTGAGCTCCCAGTTGCTCTGCTTTTAACTTAATCTGTCATCTCACTATCACTTCAGTGTGAAAGCGGGCTGGTGGCGAGATGCACAGAAGGAGCCGCCCCTGAATGCTTCTTCTCTAACCTGTTAGAGGTCGCCCCTCACCTGCCTCAGAGCTCTCACCTGTGCTAAAGGCCTAGCCTGCCCTGAAAACGCAGACTCTCCTGTTGGGGTGCTCTGTGGACCCCCGAGACTCCTTCGGCCCCTCCCTGGCTCCACCGTATCAGCTGAGTAATCTCCCTAAGCATTCTGACACACAGCTGCAAGAGATGAAAACTGTACTGTTGATAGATGAAACTTTGGATAAGATTACATGGTTTTGAATATCTTGATGACATATTTGTCTGAAAAGTCTTTTAGAGGACGGCCTAATATAAATGCGCGGAAATGTTTCTAATGACTAGCATTTGTCTACCGTCTTCGTTGGAGAAATTAGCATTCATGTGTCTCGGGATGTCATTTGCATTTGTATGTGGGGACCAACTTTTGAATAATCATTTCTTCCAGCCCAGAAGAGTTAACTATTTACTCTGAACACAGGCTGGCTTCCTGCACAGGCTCTCTGGCTGGGTCTGTGGTGTCCAGAAATAGGTAATGGTGTTCTAGGCATATATCCCACTGTTCCAGTACCACTGGACCCTTCTAAGCGGTCCTCGGATACCATTTGCCCTCACAAATATTTGCTTGGCTCCACTCTGCTCTGGCCTCACCCACCTAGCTGTTGTAATCACCTTCCTGTCCTAGCCAAGCTCAGCTCTTTCTACGAACTCCAGCCCCACTAGGTTGAAGTTCGAGACCTATCTGGTCACAAGTATCCTTGGGATTCCCCCCATAATAACACAGATTTCATTGGAAACCCATGGAAAGCAGCTGGTGTATGTAGATAGCATGGGTTCCATTCTCTTATGCGGTTTCTTAGAGGTCCTTTGGCTGAAGTCCAGGGTAATTTTCCTGGCCCAATTTTTGCATTAAGTAGAAGGAGAAGGAAAAGTCTGGATAAAGCTAAGCAGAGCTACAGGCTAACAAGGCTCTTATCTGCTCTGTGATGTCCAGGAAGAAAATTAACCTCTTTAGGCATCAGTTTTTTCATCCATAATTTTGGGGAGGTAATTCCACCAATCACCCAGAATTAAGAAGACAAGAGTTGGTCATGCCTGTGAAGTCCCAGGACTTGGCACCCTGTGGACACCCCATAAATGTCATTTTCCTGTCCTGACCCCTTAACATTGCCTAGTGTGTCATCAGCAACAGCATTGAAGCTCCCAAGGGCAACTTTTGCAAAGAGCAAAAAGTGATGTACTGGCTTCAAGATGTGGAGGGAACCTAAGTGCCCATTAGCTGATGACTGAATAAAGGAGATATGGTATACATGTACAATGGAATACTACTCAGCCATAAAAAAGGATAAAATCGTCCCATTCACAACATGGGGCCAACCTTGAGGGTATTATGTTAAGTAAAATAAGCCAGATAGAGAAAGACAATCTCTGTATGACTCCACTCATATGTGGAAATTAAACACATGGACAAAGAGAACAGATTAGTGGTCACCAGGGGAAAGGTGGGGGTGGGGGGCACAAAGGGTGAAGTGGTGGACCTACAACATGACTGACAAATAACAATGTACAACTAAAATTTCACAAGGTTGTAAACTATCATAATCTCAATAAAAACTAAAAAAAAAAAAATGATGTGCTGGCTTCGGGGTGAGATTCATTTGGGAGAGGTTCATGGAGGGCACTTTTATTTGGGGTAGCAAGACAGCTATGGGATACATTCACTGTGTGTGCTCTGGGTCGCCAGTAAAATTCTCCTGTGCATCTTATTCTCTGAGGTCTTACTCCGTGTTAGAAGTATCCCCCAGACTGTTCTGCCTGAGTGGCTTACTCTGAAAGCAGAAGGCCCGAGGTCAGGTGAGGTCCACAGTGTGGCTCTGCTCTGGGACCCAGTAGGCACTTCATAAATGCTTCGTAGATGAATTGGTGTGTGAGTTCAGGAGTCCTGACAGCACCATGCTGCCTCCTTCTAGAATGTGGAGCAGGATCATTGATGGTCTGTGTTCCAATCAGTAAAGTATCTTCAATAAGAAGAAGATGAACAGCAATCACAATATCTCTGGAGCCCTCACTCCAGGCCAGGCTTGGTGCTGAGCGCTTTATGGTGACGTCTAACTTCGACATACAACAGGCCCACAGCCATTAGCTGTCACCTCCCATCCCACAAGGAGCTTGGATGTGGAACAGAAGAGGAGGCTTAGAAACCCTAGGACTGTTAACCAAGGATGCCAACATCCAGGCACTTCCATCTGCTGTTCCTTCCACTCAGCATGCCTCTTCTCTGCTTCGTTTTGAAGCATGAATAGCTCATTTCTCGCATCTCCCTCTCCTAGAAATCTCCCCAAATCTCCAGATTCCGGGGGGAGAGGCCAGTGCTCCCAAATATGGTTGGATTCAACTTTTTAGAATCTCCAAGAACTGGAAGATGAAAGATGATGATAACCCTACACGTAGTTAAAAATGGAAACAATATTAGATCGGAAGAGAATAAATGAAGTCCAACGAGATTCAGCTTTTCCCACAATAACGACTTTGACTTGTGTTTTAAATTGCTGTGAACAGAAATAAATATGTTTTGGGGGGTGAAGGAAACAGCTGCTTAGCTGATATCCTAAGTCCGTGCCCTGCCTGTGATGCAACTTGGCACAGGTCCTGGGGCATCCTGTGTTTCCGTCTATCACAGGACGTTATCCGCATTGTAATCGCAGATTTATTTGTCTGTCTATCCACCTGCCTTGAAACCTCCTGCAGAGTAGGCACTGGTGTCTGGCACAGGGTCTGACACAAAGAAAGTGCTTAATGAAAGTCTGTAGGACGAATGCATTTGTTTATAGAGAACGTCCTCTCGATTAGCTAATGTGTCCCAACCTGAAAATGACTGTTCTCGTAAACTGGGCTCTCTCTGTTTCTCTCTGTCTCTGTCTCTCTCTTTCTCTCAGGATGGCGCTGGCAAGGAGGGAGGGAGGACTGAAACCTGATTTGTCAAAATTTCTTGACTTCTTTCCATCTTTCTATCAGGCCCCGTGTGAACACCCCATCACCCTCTCTGCCGCCATGTCAACATCTCAAATGATGCTATCTAATGGCCCACATCTTGTGCCAGAGACAACGCCTGCTTCCAGAGAATCCCAGACCATGTCCCACCCTTTTAATGTCTGTGAAGGCAAGTTGGGAGAGGCAAAGCTATCTTCCTTGAAGCCTGGGTTGTTGTTTTTGTTTTTTTTTTAACACTACTCCTTGAGAACACTTTTATGTGTCTCTTGCCAAACCTGAAACTCAGTGTTGGAATTGTTGGTGATCCTCTGAAAAGCAGAGCATCAACTGGCACCATGGCCTGACCACTCCCAATAACACATTTCCCAAGCAGAAAAAAACTACACGTCGTCCTTGGTAGGAGCGGCTCCGGAGAATGGCACAGAATCTTCCAGCATCACTTTTCATTGCTATCTTGAAAGAAACACATTAACCTATGGATGTGGTTACTGTAGCCTCTGTTTTGACTGAGTTGATTAGTCAACTGGGACAGACACGTCGTTAAATGAATATACACATAATATATTCACATATAATTGTTATGTGTGTGCACTTTCCCCTTCCTTTTGTCACCAGCCACTTGTCTGAAATATCTACTGACTGTCTGCAAATCATGTGGTTCCTTAAGGCACTATCGTTTGAAACTTGGACTAATTAATTTGGATCATATAATTTATCAGTGAAAAGGATACAATGACAAAACTGGCACTGAGCGTTTGTTCCCAAAATGTAACTCTCTGGAGGATATTTAAGAGGAAACACAATGGAGGGTATTTCTTACCTTGAAATCATGAAATTTAGAGAGGGCGCTGGATTGTGAAGATAGGCGGGCAGTGAGGGGCTGCATATAAAGGCAGAGCTGACCACGGCAAAGGAGCTTTGTCCTGTGTATGAGCCACGTCTCCAAGAGCTCCATGGAAGCTTCTGGAACATTCACTGGTGGGGATCACTGCATCAGCAAAAAGGACTGGGAGTGTGTTAACAGCCTCTTTTCCCTCATTTAATTTTGTGCTGGGTGTCTTTTTGTTGTGCCCTCACTCCCTCCCGCCCAGATCCATTCTCCACCCTTCTGCACTCAGCTCTGTGCTCCGAAAGGCAGAGCTACATAGATGCAGGAATGGATGCCCCAGGCCCTCTGGCTTCCATTTGGGTCAGGCCTATGAGTAGCACTGGAGGGAGATCAGAGGCAGGGAAGGGACTATCTCTTGCCTCCCACCCTGTGGGATCACTGTGGCAGGGGTGGTGTCCCGCGGCTGAAGGGTACAGGTAGCATCAGGCTGTGCTGTCCACCCAACCAGCCCAACCCCCTCTCTCTCTCTGCTCTCGCTCTCTCTCTCTGGGTTTTCAAACCACTCCTCTTCCCTACCCACTGGAGCAACAGGAGGTGGTCCTGGCTCCCCGAAGTTGTAGCCCCAGGACACTATACTTGCCCTTAAGAATGTCCTACACCCTGTGCTCCTGGGCTTTGCAAACATTCCCCTCAATAAAAGTCTGCTCCCTCCAGTATTGACCAAAGGGATACAAGGTTTGTGGACCAAACAGCATCGCAATGGGTGTGCTTCTCCTGGGGTGCCCCGGCGGTCTACATGGAGTGGAGTCATCTTTGTCACCTTCCACTTCTCCCTTGGACCCCAGCAGGCCTCAGTACAGAAGGACATGAATGACCGTCACACTCTTCCTGGGAAGACTAAGCTGGGGTCATAAGTACCTCAACAGGGCCTCGCTCTCTTCCCCACCCCGTCCCACCGAGTCAGGACCCCAAGTCAGAGCTGAGTTGTGCAAAAAGGTAGAGCATTAAACCAAGCCCCAGAAGGCCTTGGGGCCAGGCCTGGCTTTGCTCTATCCCTACCCTGTGACGTTGGGTCATATCCATCCTTCCTCCTTGAGGTCATCAGTCGAGTCGAGGTGACAGCCTGAGTCTACTCCTCATAAGGCTCTGAAAGGACAGGAAGGATATGTGAAGACAGTTTAAAACCTGTCGCGCATGCACTGGTGTACTGCGTGACTTATTTGTAACTTATTTGGTTAGTCTCACCGTAGCCTCCCCAGCTAGACTAGTTCTCCGGGTCAGGGATGGTAGCTTCTGCACAGCTTTTTGTTATTCTGGAAGATCTACTCCAGTGTCGTGCCCCTGAGAGCTCAGGCAATGACGGCTGAACAGCAGCTACTATTTGCCTTGTGATTTTCGAAGGAAGGCAAAAGACAGCCTCTGGGACCTCGAAGAGGCAGGAAAAGCATTCTCACTCACACTTAAACACTGCAAGGTAGAGGCAGAGTTCCTTGGCCTCATTCTGGAATTGTATCACAATTCTGTAAAGTCAAATCATATTTAAATGGATAGTCCTAAAATAAATGAACCTAAGGGGAATGCGTCAGGTACAGTAAGCTGACTACCTTAACTCCTTTGTTCTTGTCTGCATCTACTACAGAAGCTGGTAAAGCTTAAAAAAAAATCACCTTCCTAAATATTTTTGTAGTTGGGAATGGCCATGTGACTCAGTTCTCAAGAACAAGATATAACTACTCCAATGTACCATCAATTTCCCTTTTGTTTCTTTCCTGCTTGGAAGGCAGACCTGATGGCTGGAACTTCAGCAGCTATCTTGGGAAGATAAGGTGACAGCAAGAAGGAAAAGACAGAAGAATTGCAGAGATGGTGACCTTGATATTATTAAGCCACGGAACTAATGCGAGCAAACAACTACCTCCAGAATTGTGTGTGTGTGTGTGTGTGTGTGTGTGTGCGTGCATGTATGAGAGAGAGAGAACATTAACCCTGATTAGTTTAAGCCACTATTAAATAGTTATTCTGTTACTTGTAGCCAAAGGTGCTCCTATCTGACACAGTGAACAGTGTCAATACAATAACTTTCTTTTCTCCAATACCCCATTGGCTTTACAAGTTGAAATCTGTGTATAATAAGACTTTATTTTTTAAGTGAGAGGACTCCATTGGATTAATTCAAACCTGATTCACCTCAACCCTGTCTAATGCCCATAACCCCTTTTCACCCTGTTCTCAGCAATTCCTGAAGCCCCTTGAGAGCAGATGCCATTTGGACGTTTAAATCCCTAGATAGGAACACCACATTTTTCATGTAACTGGCATTCGAGGAAAGACTGAGGCCTAAAGAAAATAAAAAGGCTGCAGAATGTCCAGAGAAGATATTAGCAGTTACTACAATTTATGGAGAGACTAACATATGCAAAGCACTTTTTAATCACTCTTTCAGACACGCCGGATCTCTATTAAGCAAGCATCTTTACCTCCATTTTACAGATGAAAACCCCAAAGCTCGGAGAGTTTTCATAATTTGGTCAAGATCCTGAGGCTTACGAATGACACAGAGAAAATGTGAACCCCAGCCCCCCCTCCACTATAGACGTCTTCCCGGCGAAACGAAGAACTCAGAATGTAGAAACCACCAGTAAGACTCTGTTTTTCTCGCTTTAGCATCTGAAGATGCTCGCCAACCGGGCCAGGTGCCGCCCTGCATTTCAGCAGACTCTGCATTAACCCTTCAAAGAGTTGGCTGTTCGATCCATGGAGACTGCAGAGGATGATGGTTTGGGGCTATTGAGAAAGTGGCCCTTTCCACTCTCTAATTTGCATGCTGGATGTCTATTGAAAGTTGCTATGGTGATCCGTTTGACCAGAAGTTTCCGCTGAATCATCCCAACGCGTATATAAAAACATAAATGTGGTTTGGGGACCCGGAGCCCTGCAGCCGGGGAGCTGTCTCCATTTTTCACTTGTGACTCACTCTGGTCGTGCGTAGGCCCAGCTGTGAGGAAGGCGAAACCTCTGCGGGCAGGTGTCACTCCCTGGAGAGGTTCTGCAGGGCGGGATGCGTTGACATCGCCCCCGGGGAACCTGAAGACTGAAGAAGGGGACATGGAAGTCCCCACACCTGGGTGATGCCTCGCTCCCCTGGGTGGTTCTGGAGCTGCCGGTCTTCTCAGTGAATGTCTCAGTTTGGAGACCCCTCAAAGCAGAGGCTGCAAGGGGCACTTGAGGGTTGAAGCAAGCAAGCAGAAGGCAGGATAGGGATTCTGAGACAGCAAGGAGGGACAGCTGATAGAAGAGTGTGCTGTCCAGGGGGCTGCTGCGGGCAGCCACCTACTTTAGGACCTGACTCTAAGAGAAATGGTGACAGGGCACAGTGAGGATGGAGGGGGGCACTTCGTGCAGAAGGACTCAGGTTCAAATCTTCTCTCTGCTCATTGCTGGACTGGCTGCAGGCCTCGGCGAGGTTCTGAACATTGACATTGACTTCTCTTTGCAGAGAAATACAGACAAGAACACCTCCTGCGGCTTTATGAAAAGAAATAATATGCCAGTGGAGACAACACAGAGCCCAGCCTGTGGTGTCTGCTCAGTCGGTTTTGTTTTCTTTCTTTCTCTCTTCACCAAAGAGATTCAACTGAATCATACTGCTCTTCTTGGCTGTGAACCAGGCATAGGAGCTTGTGGACAAATAGTTAATTTAAAAAATCTGTAGACAGATGATAGATAAACAGATAAAGATTTAAACGCAGCTCTCCAAAAATTGCCCTTTATTTTTTCTATTGAAGCAAATATTATTTGACATTTGATCTTCATTTGATATGTGGACTATATAATTAGACGAACGTGCATATGGATATCTTTATAGATAACCAAATGTAGATGCATGGAGAAAGAATTACCTAATTAGTCCTTTTTTTGCTACTTGGAGACATTTAAGGGATGCCCCTGGATGGAGAACGGGGAGTCGTTTGGAACAAGAAGGTGGAAGAGTTGTCAAAGGAAGAAATCCAGGGCCAGCTGTCAGAGTGCTTAAAGGAGACAGGTTGCAGTTCAAGTTGACGGCGATTTCTTAAAACTGTGTAACATGTTACATTAGCAAGAGTGCCGAAAGACAGATACAACTTTTCTAGAAAATACTTTGTCACATCAAAGCCCCAAAATGTCTATACCTTTTAGCCTGTCAATGAGCCAGGGTTCTCTAGAGACAGAACCATTAGAATATATATATGTATATAACCCACTGGATAATCCTGCTAATATATATATATTGCATATCTATAGAGAGAGAGATTTATTAGGAGAGACTGGCTCATGGAATTGTGGAGACTGCGAAGTCCCTCAATCTGACATCTGCAAGCTGGAGACCCAGGAAAACTGGCAATGTAATTCAGGCCGAGTCCGGAGACCTGAGAACCCAGGGACCGAGTGTGTTAATCCCAGTCTGAGGGCAGCAGATGAGATGAGCTGTCCCAGCTCACGTAGCAAGACAGAAAGAAAATGGGGGTGAATTCACCCTTCCTCTTCCTTTGTTCTACTCAGACCCTCAGTGGATTAGATGACAGCCACCCACACCGGGGAGGGCCGTCTGCTTTCCCGAGTCCAATTCAAATTCTAACCTCATCCTAAAACATCCTCGCAGACAGACCGAGAAAGAATGTGTGATCTGGTCACCTCATGGTCCACTTAAGGGGACACACAAAATTAACCATCACAGCCTAGGAGTCTCAGTTTTTCATATTTATCTTAGGGAACTTATCAGATCTTCAGCAATTATGTACAAGGATAGAGATCAAAGCAGTAGGTATATTACCGAAAAATTAGAAAGGATTTTAATGTCCCAAAATAATCAAAGAAATTATTTTATAATCACATGATTAAATTGTATGTGGCCAGTAAAGAAATGTTTTCAAAGAGTGCTCAATGAACTGGCAAAGTTATGATGCTAGATTATGAATGAAAAGTCGCATATGACAGGTACTTTCAACCTGCTCCCAATTCCACTGAAAATATTTTTTAGTTATACATTTGCATATTTGTGTGTACAGTTATGTAGATATACTCACTACAAAAAAATGACTTAGAGGACAACGCTATGAACAACCACTGTTTCTGAGCAATTTTCACTTTATTCTTTCTCCTTTTTGTGTTCTCCAAAGTTTCTTTAATGAGCACAAAATTGTCACAATCAGAAAAGGAAGTGATACATATGATTTATAAAAATGCTAAAGAAGTCAAACTTTAGAATCCTGGCCATTTTTCTTTAGCATAATCTTTCTTCAAAATGCAGTTGGATTGCCCCAAAAAGGTGAGGGTCGGAGCAGAGCCATGGAGGGTCAGGAAAAGGTGTTTGGATGCATGACCTCTGGTCCCAAGGACAGAGTGGTGAGGAAGGCAGCGGGTGGATGTGGTAGACAGGGATTTGTGACCACGTTGAATGACAGCTTTCAGAGGACAGCGTGGAGGGTTGGTTAGTCCCCCTAGGGCTGGGGGGAGGAGGGGAGGGAGTGGCATGCTAGAGTGTCTGTTGTCACTTCAGACCTTTGGAGATGCATCTTTGAGCGTGAAAAGAGATGGAAAATTAGAAGCCCCCAACATCCTGACCTTAACATCTTTTCTATTTCTTCTCCTTTGATGGTGCCTCCATTTCCACATATCTTCCCTCTTCTCTGTGGCCCCCTGGCCTATGCCCTGCTGTAGGTTCGCCTTGCTCCCGGGCTCACGGGGCTGACTCTGGTCACACCAGGGTTTTATATGGGACAGCCACTGTGCCCTTTTCTTTCCAACATCTCATGTCCCTCAGTCACAAGGCCAGAGGGTTATGGAGAGAGAGTGGACTCAGTTACACCCACCAAAGAGATTTCTGAGGCCCACTAAACTGAGGATGTGTGCACAGGTCAAAAGATATCAGAATTATAGTCAGACCACCTGGATTAGAATCTACCTCTGCCCCCCTTACAAGCTGTGTGGGCTTGAATAGGTATCTTAACTTCTCTGAATTTCAATTTCTTGACCTATAACCAAAAGAGAATGATATCCAGCTTATAGGCTCATCGTGACAATGAAATGAGCCTATTAGCAGCAGTAATAATGAGAGCTATAATGGTTTTCTATTGCTGAATAACAAATGTCGCAAATTTAGCAGCTTA